TCCAGCTTCTTCTTCTTCGTCTTCTGTATATGATCGATCGATCAATCGATCCGTTCAATTCAATCACAATGTCATTGCGTTTTCTATGAATTTGATTATTCAATCAACGTCATTGGGATTCATTATGGTTATTGTTTTTTTTCTTTCTTTCTTTTTCAAAACAAAACAAAAATTCTTTTTCTTTTTCTCGAAACGCTCTATCGTCGGTCGGTTATATTCGGTTCTATTGGATTCAGGCCAAAAAAAAAAAAAAAATAAAAAAAATAAATCTTATTCATGTGTGTATCTCAAAGAGGAAAAAGTTTGTTTATTTTTTAGGTCGAAGAAGTTTTATATTCTTATTGCCCTGTTGTTGTTGTTGTCATAATGCCAAGCAATGAATGCTAAATTGAAGAAAAAACATTCGAATGTGAATGTATACAGAATATTCTGCTGAGCATGTTCGGTTCGAAAATGTTTTTAATATGCATTCGATTTGAAGATGACGAAGAAAAAGCAAACAAACATTAAAAAAAAAAAAAAAAATCTTTACCGAAGTCTCTTGGTGTTAACCACTGTATTGCTGTATTGCTGCTTCTTCAATAATAACCTTAATAAGAATTCTGGATTCAGCCTTTTTATTGATTTTTTTTTGTTCTCGGTGAAATTGATCCATTAATTTTTTTTTCTAGTTGAATATTTTTTTTTGATACCAAGAAATAGAAAAATTCATTATGAATTATCAACAACAAGATCTAAGACATTCAAAACGTTTCCAAATGAAATCCACTTTGTTACATATTTTATTTCCCGTACGTATTATTGCCTGTATAACATTGGCTGTATTATCCTATTGTCATTGGATTGATATTGCTGAAAATGCTGAAAAAGATAGTGATGAAACGAATATTGTAAGTTTATTTGTTTTTAAAAAGAGAAAATTCAATTAATCAAGTAATCATTGTTTTTTTTCGAAATAAAACCAGCGTGGTAAACTTTTATACATCACTTTGTTTGCTATCGTCATATTTTTGGCATCAATAATAGGATGGTCAGGTGTTATCCGACGAAATTGGTCATTAGTTGTTGCATTCAATGGTACAGCAATGTTAATCATTATGATCGATATTTATATGACAATATTCGATATACGTTTCTATTTGATTTCATTGATTATTACAATCATAATGCTTATTGTTAATATATTTTTAGCTATTGATTTGGATGGTAT